TGGCAGAAAGGAACTAGAGCCCTCACCGGTGGTCCGCAGCGAATGTGTTAACTTAAGTTAAAGACAAATGCTAACTTAAAGAAGTTAAATTTTTAATTTGTAAAAGTAAATTCAACTTTTGCCTAACTTTGTTTTATACTGAAACAGTAGGTACCAGTAAACTTACCAGATAGCCTATATGAAGTTTTCTCGTTTTAATGTAACTGAAGAAAAGACTCGCAACTTAAACCACAAAGATCTCATCGATTGATGTCAACCTGAAAACAAAAAAGTTTATGTTGTAATAGGTCTAATTTTAATTCTAATAAGTTATGAGTTTAGCCTACCTAAATGTAATGCCTACGATCAGACTTTTATCAATTGGATTTGATTATATTTATTTTTTAAATAGGTAGGCTAGTACAAGTAAATATCGGCCTAAATAGCCTAGGCTATGCCAATTTCGGGGTACACTTCCATATCTGTTAGCACAAACAACCGAATGAAATATCGATCGATTATTTGATATATCGTTTGGTTAGATATTCTTAGGTAAGGTTAACCTAACCTAACTAACCAAATGATATATCGAATTAGGTACATTTCTGTTAAAGGGAATATTTGATAGGCCTAATATCGATTTTCTCAATAGCCTATATCGGTATTTTTGTTTTCCTTTACGATTCATTACAAATTGACAACTGATCTTGATTAGGCTAAAATATAGTCTATTAGCCTATAGTATGGATTAAGAAATGAAACTGTTCTAAGCTAACATAACCAACCAGTCCGTTTCATAACCGAAAAGACAAGTGGAGAATATTAAACGGAATTTTTCAATGTTACAAAAGTTTTGTTAGTTTTATTGGATTAGTTTAGAACAGTTTCATTTAATTTTTTTATTTTTTATTATCGTTTGTTGATACTGCACAATAATTTAGGTTAACTTTCTATCGTAGTTGTCAGCTGATATGTTTCAATTCGTTAAATATCGACATATCGAGAAAAAAATCATTGATAATAACTTAATGAATGTTCCCTTTAACAGGAATGTAAGTTTACCTCAAATTAAACAATCGAAGGGTACAGTTTCTTAACTGGGCTACACTAATATTGATAGAAACTATCGAATTGAAAATATTGATTAATAATCGATATTTTAAAATATATCTATTATAAAATTAAACTATCATAACCTAACCTAACCAACCAAACTTGCTGATGGTGAAAAAATCGTATGAAAGTTTACATTACTAACTTAATCGAATCGATAGTTTCAATCAATATTTGCGTAGCCCAGTTAAGAAACTGTACCCCAATCGGGGTATCAATAGGCTAGACTCATTCGGTTGTTTGTGCCAACAGATATGGAAGTGTACCCCGATTTCGAATAAAGGCATACATAAGTTAAAGTGTAATCAGGAAGGTTCTGGAAGCTTCAAGACTAGTGATGTGCGATACTATCGTATCGTATCGGAATATCGCGATACGCGAGGGACGATACGATATTTAAAAAAACTATACGTATCGTATCGCCTAAAACGATATTTGTATTTATATCGGCACATAGAGCGATACGATTCATGTCAAAACGATATTTTTGATAATGTACCAGTCCCATCCCAGTCCAGTCCATTTTCACTAGCGTCTAGATATTTTTGGTTTTTACTTGAAATGTAGGCTACCAGTAGTAGTCCCATCCCCGTCCAGTCTCCAGTCCATTTCCACTAGCGTTCTATCTAGCCTAGCAGTGCAGTGCAGAGTGTGGGAACTGTCAACTCTGTCTGTGGCAATTACATTACATTAATGTATCTGCAATCCTAAAATGCTATGGGAAGGAAAGGGAAACAGGTCCAAGACGTAGGGAGTTGTGAAGGAAGTACCGGTAGTAAAGACGAGCAGTGTGCAGTAGTGTGGGAATGGATTAATGTATCCGCAATACTAAGACCGTTTTCAGAGTAAACTAATGATTTTCCTCGAGCAAAGCTCGGTCCCCAGGTACTTAAATAAATTTGCCGTATATAGGCAAGTTAGGGGGGGGGGAACGATACGATACGTATCATTTTTCGATATTTTTGACGATACGATTCGCGTATCGCGATACAGACGCCCGATTCAATACAATTTTTTTCCGATACGTATCGTATCGCTGTATCGCGATACGCGTCCGTATCGCCCATCACTATTCAAGACACATGGGTGCCAAGTGTCGACAAAAGCAGGCATATCACTTAGGCAGTAAACAGGGCCACAGTTTTCAATTAGCTTCACCCTGCAAGAAATGGGGAGTTTGAACAATTGAAAATGGCTTGAGTTACACAACTTAGCGCATTGAATGGAAACTGTGGGCCTGGCTGTAAACAAATTAAATTATAAGATGAGAAAAGGAAATGTACAAGTACTAGCTCAACATAGCACTTACCTCACCAAAGGCCATCAAAGAATAAATCAGCTATGAAAATCAGAACTAGGCGCCCGACCGTAGCAACAAGGTCATCATAAAACCATGCACCTCAATCCAATTATCCAAATTATAACCCCACTAAAACTAAATGTATTATTTCAAGGTAACGCAATTCATTTCAATTATTATAATATAATGGATATGTTAACGATGGACATAGCGACAAAGCATGGTTATAAAAGGTTATGGTACCAGCTCCCCAGCTGCCAGCTGCCACGGGAGTAGACTGGAGTCTAAACCTTCGCTGTCTCATCGCGATGTTGTCCCCTAGCGCTGCGGAGTGGGGGAAATGATTCTCCCTCCACCTCCCCTCTAGACGGCGTCCAAACAAGCCCGCGTTGTTTTACATGCATAAACCTATGCTGCAGTTTTTCAATAAGTTAAAAAATGAATATTTATGAAATTAAACCGTCATAAACTAACCTAACCAACCAAACTTGCAGATTATATAAAAAAGATTTAAAATAAAAATCGAATGAAGGTTTACTAATCGAAAAAATAGTTCTGTTCATAAAATAAAATTATAAATGCCTTAAATTCAATTTTATAATTTATTAACTATAAAATTAAACTGTCATAACCTAACCAAACCAACCAAACTTGCTGATGATGAAAAAATCGAACGAAGGTTTACTAATAGAAAAAAAATAGTTCTAAACTAAAACTATAATAGCTCAAATTGAATTTTATAATGTTTTAATTAACAAATTAAACTGTCATAACCTAACTAAACTAACCAAACTTGCTGATAATGCAAAAATCTTAGACAAAAAGTTAGAGCTACCGAGAGGATTCGAACCCGGTACCTTCAGATTCTCAGCCCGGCACGTTATCCATTAGATCACCGAGGCCTCTGGCTTCAAATTGTATCGTTGCGGTAATGGTGTTCCCTCAGCCAATAGAATGCTGTGCTTCCCCCACTCCGCAGTGCCAGGGGACAACATCGTGATGATTTAGCGAAGGTTTAGACTACAATGTCAATGTGCCACGTAGGCCAGGGCCAGGTGAGGTGGTGTGGTAAGAAAGAATTTTTAAGAAAGAATAAGAAAGAAGAGATAGAGTGGGAGAGCTAGAGAGAGAAAATTAGAGAAGAAAAACTAAATTTAATTAATTACATTGTGAAGTGCCTTACCTCAACGTAGCTTTTAACCATGAAACTAAACCTAGTGAGAAGATGTCCTACAGAATCGATAACCCATAATTTAAAAAATAACATGACATCTGACAGCGTTACCTTACCTCTTCTTCATCTTTTACCCAAGAAAGGGATGGATTGAGTCATAATAAAAGAAAAACTAACTAAGGAAAACTTTTACAAGTACAAAATAATATACTCACAACTGAAAAAAACGTACGTTTTTCATATTTTTTGAGTGCTAAGAATGAAACACAATATAAACTTGTATGTATTATTACACTGAAATACAAGTTAAAAACTAACTTCCACTTCCAGCGATGACGCATGGCGACCGTAGAGTGGCAATTTCATTGTCAGTCGTGAACTCCTAAATTCTGTCGTAGGCTCTATCTCAGAGTACCTAATAAAACAAATTCTTTTGTTTTAATACTCTGATGCTCCATCTTTCATAGTTGCCATTTTTGTCCTTAAAAAACCCTTTCCCCAACCCCAAGGTAATATCGGAAGATTGTTACTAAAACTTTAGTCCCTGAATCAATATTATCCCCGAAATAATTCAGAAGTAGTGTGTAAGATACCTAATCTAAGTTATCTTAATTTCGCTCTGTGTAATCTCTATAGAAGCAATATGAAAGAAACCATAAAGATTTTCTGATTTCTGAATTTGGCAGATAGTGGCTATAGATTCTAGATTCTGACGCAGGTAACATCATAGATAAAACATACTCCTCAAGTATGTTTTATCTATGGTAACATCCAGCATGTTTCTTTGCCTGGTGTTGTGAGAATCAACCATGAGTCACAGGACGTAAGGTCTATAAATGCTTGTCCCAGACATAAAGAAAGAACAGAAGAATGTAGTGGCCGAAGACAGGGAAGTGAGCCTCAGCCTAGGGATTCCTAGCTCCTAGAAAAGGGGCTTACTTTGAGTCCGGAAGTCAAGAATAAAAGAAAGAGGGAATCATGCAATATAGTGCCGATGTAACAAATTTTCCCGTATGGTCATTGATGCTTGACTGAATGACTAAACTGAGCCATGTCAATTTTTAATATATCGCATATCTGAACTCGTTTACCAGGCCTGCCACTATTTCAGTTTTCAAAGAATTTTGTATGTTAATAATAATTTTTTAACTCAAAAATCTTAAAACGCATGGTAAAATATGCATTTAAAGTGGCGGCAAACTCAATTATTAATAAAAAAAATTGAGAAATGTATTTTATATAATTAATTCAATTATGTGGCTTAAGCCATTTTTTATAATCAATTAAAAGTCTAAGAAATACACAGTAAAATGTCATAGTGAATATTTCTGCCTGCCTATGTGTCTTGCACAATCAATTACAGAAAAAGATGTAAACAATGACCTAACCTTCAAATTTCAAAGTTTCTAATTTAGTGACCAGTGAAATCGTGTTTATCTTTATAATTATATATTTTATTTAATAAGATTTGCTATAAGCTTTTAACAATAGATTTATATAACTCAACAATCACTTCTTAGAGCATCTCTGGAGCTGCTTGTATAAGTTAGACAAAATTATATATTTGATATTAGACTCTCTATGACAATCCTACAAAACATTCTACTTATATCTTCTGGTATTACTTTTGAGGGGCTTTTTTTATTTTGGTTAAATCTTACGTAATATTCAATAAAATAATAGGCCTATGATAGTTTTTTTCATGTATAGATTCATGGATAGATCAATCGATGTTGAGATGTTAATAAAATATTAGACGATGAGACAATTACGCTACTGTAAATTTCTTACGACAGATCTATCTAACACTTGGTTTTTTGGTTTGTTATTTAATGTTAATAGAACAATCCCTTTTAAAAAGCAGAACTTTTTAAGATATTCTTCCTTTTTGTTTCCCTTGTCAAATATTTCTTTATCGCATATAAAACGAACACTGCAAATAAAAAAGTTTACTGTAAAGGACGGCTACACTTGCCTTGTAACAACCTGTCTTAGTTGTAAAAATAATAGAAAAACTGATGGTAATATCTTCATCAACAAAGTAACAGGTATGTAAGTCAGCCAACTTGCTGAATTCTATAGGATGCTTAAGTTACCTACCATTTAAAAAAAGGGAGGGCTGCACTTTAGTTTAACGCCCCACATTCACTTGATTAGAACTATCAATATATTGATTATTTCATTTGATTGTTCAATCCATTATTTTATCGATTTTACTTTGTTATTTTTTATTGTTTAAGTTTCTTTTTTGTTATTGTTTATAAGTCATTAAAGTATTTAAAAAAAAGGTTATTAAAATGAAACTGTTCTAAATTAACCTAACACAACTAACCAAAGCTGCTGTAACATTTCAAAATTCTGTTCGATATTCCCCACATGCTGTTTCTGGCTGCACTTTACTTTAGGTCCTACACTCATTTGAATTAAAATATTGATCGATATATCGATTGATCGATTGTTTCATTCGATATATCATTTGGTTAGTTAGGTAAGGTTAACCTAACCTAACTAACAAAATGATATATCGAATGATCGATATTTTCATTCGAATGAGTGTAGGACCTAAAGTAAAGTGCAGCCCTGTTTCTGTTATCAAATGGAATTTTGAAATGGTACAGAATGTTTGGTTGGTTATGTTAGTTTAGTGTAGAGCAGTTTCATTTTTTAATCCATATAGGGCCTGTATTCCGAAGTCTATTGTAATTATAGTGTAATTACTGAATGACCAATAAATCTATTCTATTCTATTCTTGAAGTTATATTGTTTTTGCCTAAACAAGATCCGTTGTCAACAGTTTGTAATTTAAATGCGTTTGAAGATATTAAAACAGAAGGAATATGGATCAGATATTTAGGCCTACAATCAAACAAAATAATCGATAAATCGGTAGTTTTAATCGAGTGACTGTGGGCCGTAAACTTAAGTGCAACCAAATAAGGTTTGACCTACCAATGTAAGAAACATGAACATACCTATTTTGTTTTACATTTGTCTCAGTCTGATATTAAATTAAAAACTAAACTCAATTTATGTTTTTAAGGCTACTTTTTCTGCAGTGAATGCAATGCTAGTGGATCATGGGATTCTCTAGAAAAGGCACTAAAGAAAGATGCTGATTCATTGCCAAAAGATAAACCAATGATCGCTCCCTCTCGATGGACAACAATATGTGAAAAATCTGAGGACTTGAAGTTACTCTCACATATTGATTTAGAGGAAATTGTACAAAAGTTTCAGCTTAAGGTAAACAACTTTTAATTAGGCCTAGCTATTTATTCATAGCAATCTGAATATTATTATGACATCACTTACGCTCCTTTTACACCATACAGTTTCCGCTGTTTGGTTGAAAACAGTACAACGTTACGTTGTGTCTTTGTTTCTTTCACATTACACGGTTTCTGAGTGTGGGGTGAGATAAATGTGATTACAACATCACAATAAAAATAAACAGCGACCAATTGTCAGGTCAGTTAAAAAAAATAAACATTGCTACAGCTGATCTATTTGCACTAGCTGGTGGGCTCCTGTTTGATTAAAAGCTGTGCAGTATGAAAGCTTGCATTTAACTAACCTACATGTGCAACTGATGCACGGCTACGTTGCAACAATCATCCGGTTCAGTGGCAGTGGACGGCTACAAGAACGCACGGTTTTTTGCCGTAGCCATAACCGTGTAGTATGAAATCTCTCCATACTCTTCTTTCCACTAGACTAAAATAAATTACCTGTACAACCGTGCGTTGAAAACCTTATAGTGTGAAATGAGCATTACCATGTACGGTATGGTAGGCGGCTACATTATGTTATCATTGATGAAATATGTCGTGGTCATGTGCGGTGTAGGTATATTTTTTTAGGATAATCAAAGACATTTGTAGCCTACTTTTGTTTAGATAGGTTTATATCAAAAGTTGTTATAAGTTAATGTAAAAATAAGTAAGTTAGCATGTTGTTGATGCTTGATTTAACACTAACTATTAATTACTATTCTATAGCATAAATGTTTACCTATATTTTAACACATTGATAAACGTATAAGATTGCCATACATATCGTTGAGATACTATAAAAAGCCTTGGTAAAATTATTATTACCTTTGTGGATTGTTGAGATTTATTAAAATTAAAAAATTAAAAATTTAAGTGCTATTAAACAATTTTATCACATTTTTGGTTGTGAAGTAAGTACCTAGTCCAACTATTCTCTACCCTTTTTATTGCCAATGTGGGTTCCATATGTTCCATGAACAAAACTGTAACTTTAACTGTACACTGTGAGGTGTCAAACCCAAAACCACTTTAGCATTCAAATTACAGGCATGATCAGACTTATTCATAAAATGTAATGGCGTCCCTTTATGTAACATTGATGTAGGGCCTACTAACCTACTTAAGACACAGTATTTTAGATTAACGGGGTTTATTCTATGTTATTTACTAAGTCTATTGTGCACATAGGATATTAACAACATAGGAGTGTTAACGCAGCAGAGATGGTGAAAGAAACTCCCTCAAAATAAACCATTGAATTAAATACCCCCGCCGCAGCAAACCTGCAGACTAAGCGAATTTCCATTGACCTGATTGGATTTACACTAAAATGCCTCCATAAAAATAGCACATTTATTTTCTATTTAAATAGAATTAGTTTAACAAGTACCTTAGGTTTGCTGCAACAGGGAGGGTAAAAAAGATTTTTTTATAAAATGATAATAGTTTAGTAAGAAATAAAAGTATTTTCAAAATCGATCAAAATATGTTCATAAACAAGCAAACTACAACAGTTGACTTATTCTCCATAAGAATAACATGGGAATTTTAAAATTACAATTTTTTTGAATTTTCTCCGTAACAATTAGGCGCATAATAACGCTTCAATATACTAAATTATTTGTTTTTTTAAGCTCTACAAAGTGGTTTAAAAAGAAATTGTGAAATTTTGTGTTTTTAGTGGCAAAAATGGGAAAAACCTATTTTTACCCCATAAAACCCCCCATAAACCCCCGTTCCCATAGTCCGATCATGCTGGTTCGCGAACTCATTCAAGTTTATCCCGCCATACACCTTCAAACCAAATTTTATCAAAATCGGACAAAAATTACTCAAGTTATCGTGCGGATGGACACATATATATATATATATATATATATATATATATATATCTATATATAGATATATAAAAATTTGAACGAATGGTGTTTTTGGCCTCTGGGGACATCAAAATGAAAAAGTATATCGGTCCCGGGCTTAGGTCTTACCATGAGACCTACGGTAATAGCTACTTCCCTATAGGGAAATTCGCTAAAACCACCTTAAATATACTGGGGCGGCTCAAATGAAAGTTAAGATTACCGGTATTTTACATAGTCTAGTTGAGCAAATATTTTACTCAACCATTGAGCAGGCTTTTAACCTTTATAACGTAAGAGGGCGCCTAGAAGCTTTTTCTGCAATACCTAAAGAAATTCTCTGGCTAATCATACAAATTTATTTAATTCCATTTTATCACATAATTTTGCAGTTTAATTATAACGTAAGTGATAAGGGACAATTTATTGTCAAATCCTAAACTGTACAACAACTATTTATGAGTAGGCCTAATATTTCAAAAAATCTTTTAATGAGTTTTTAAAAGTAGTTTAGTGGTTTTCAAGGTCAGTGTTACGAGAGAAGGTGAATGCGGAGATTTTATCCGCAATGAAGCAATTATATGTTAATAGAAATAAACATATTTGAAAATCAAATAAAGTAACAGGATAATCATATTTGAGAAAAGTTTTACATCTTTCCAAAAATAAATTTTAAATATAGGCCTTATCGGAAAATTTTTGTGTGATATAATATATAAATTAATTTGTGAGAAATAAAACAAGAACCTGGATAGAGCGCATAGGTACAGAGAAAACCTCTACAACTTAAAACCACACTTACTAACTCGCATCCCAGATTAAACGTAGGAGAAGGGACATTGTATAGGCTCAATTATTGTTTCGGGTAAATCCAGGAATGTGGCATTTCCATTAGAGAGTCGGACATGACTGGCGACCCCAATTAAGTATTTTTTTACTAAATCTTAACGTGCGGCGCTAAACTCTTGGAGTACCCCATTGAGAGTAATACTTAATACTACTGTACCTTAGGTTTATGGTTGAAAAAATATGAAAAGAATTGAAAGTAAAATAAAAACAAGTTACAAATGGTTTAATATACTACACCATACTTCTTTTAGTGTCAATTATCATGAAATATCTCTGGCTGCAATGCCAGTTCGTATGATTTTAATAAAGCACACCGGTAACAAAATGTAATATTTTTCCAGGATGTTTCTCATGAACATCTTCTGGCGTTGGATCCACTTGTGAATGAAAGCAGATCTCACATGTACATTCCGTTGAAGAATTGTGGACACATTGTAGGTGTGAAGGAGCTGACACAAGATGGGTACGAGACTACAATTCCCAACATTGAGTGTAAAGGCCTTTTGATCGTGGAAGGCCAGAGAAACTCGCAGAAGAAAGAAGCCATCTTGGTACATAGTGTGAAAGACATGCTAGCTCTCACTGGTTGCAAGATTAAGTCTGATATTATTTGTCTTCCTCATGGTAAGATGGTGGTTTAGTTATTGAAAGTTTACTGTGGCAAGTTTGAGGCTAAATACTAGTCTTAAGCTGGGTAACACCTTCGAAAAATTACAGACCTACTGTAGTGAACCTCACAATAGCAAACATATTTATGGAAAGCCTACCTATGTATGCAAGTCGAGTGTAAAAGTGATTTAGCTAAAATAATAACGGAAGCGAGAATCATTTAATTTTATAACTCAGTAAGCTTTACTCTACAAGCTAAGTGTTTGAATTATATCTGAGATTTTAAAAAATTACACCCTCAATAGGTCTGAAGGTAATGGTGTCTCCAATTCAAAATACCGTTTAAAATCTGTACTGTATTGTCTTTGACAAATTTTCAAAGTTTTAATTAGGTACAGTATGTTTATTCTTTCTTAGTGGTTTCAACTTGAAACCTGCTAATAACAATTGTATTCAACAATGAGTATTTATAATATAGTTAAATTTTCTGAATTGTAGGAATAACAAGTCTACCTCAAGAAATTCTACCAGTATTAGAGAAGTATAATAAAATTATTCTCTGGTTTGACAATGAAGAGGGCCATTGGGAATCAGCAAAGCAATTTTCGAAAAAGCTGAACGAAGAAAGGTGTTATTTTGTCAGGTGCGTTAATGTTATTTAAAGTTACTAGATTTACAAAATTGTACCATCTTTGTCCATCTTTTTCACTTGTTTGGAACCTATCGCATGTCTTTTGTTTCGGCCAAATTTATTCATTGTTTATCTAAGATTTAATATATACATCCAGTAATATTCTTTTAAAATTTCTCTCTTTGTTGTTGAAGTAAACACCGGGGAATTGTTTCAACACTGGTTGTCTCTGATGCTCGCGTAGCTGATACCACCGGCCATATTTTTCTGTGTATCAGCTTGACTTCTTCACATTTAGCTTGAAAGTGTTTTATTTTCCAGGCTGCATTGTTTAGTGGACCATTTAGCAGACATGACAGGCAACAACATTTTGTGTTAAAAAACATTTTGTTTTCGGCCATCCCTGCAGCTGGGACAACTTATGATTTATCTGAGCTGCTTTTCAAAAGACCACGTATGATACAGCTAATCAACTAATAAAGACCTACCCATAAGCCTTTATAGCAAAGTGTCTAGTCTTAACCAATACCAATATTAAAAACACCAGTGTAGTTTCTCTAATTTATTTGTCCACTAATCGCTGGAGTTGTCTCTTGTTTCAGACCTTCCGAGGACCAGCCGGCTCCGCACAAGGCGCATCAGCTGGGCCGTAGTCTGAGGGAGATCGTACAGCGAGCCACGCCGATATCTCACCAGTCAATCACACACTTTGCCCACCTCAGAGAGGACGTTTTGGCTCACTTGCAGAACATAGAAAAAGTAACTATAATACTTCTTTATTTACTTGATAAGGCCTAAAGTTCCAAAGAGAACCTAAGATATATTATTGAATGAAATTTTCCTTCAATATATGTATATATGTATATATGCAAACACACTGAAAATATAATGGCCTAAAATTAGAACTTGTAGGCCTGCTTATTAGACCCCAACACCCTAGATATATCTTTCTTCTTCTTCCTAACTTTCAAGGCTAAAAACGCTGGTGTCAATGACTGTGAAATATTGTATCTAGTCAATTATTGTGAATAAAAGGATTTTTTTACTTTAATTTAAGAGTCTTTGAGGCTATATTCCAAAAGCCCTAACAGTTTTATATTCCAGGCTGCTGGGGTGAAGTGGGTTCGATTCCCCGCTTTGAACAATATCCTGAAAGGACATCGAAGAGGGGAGATGACTATTCTAACAGGACCTTCGGGCGCAGGAAAGACAACGTTTATGAGTGAATATTCTCTTGATTTGGCTATGCAAGGGGTAAGCCGAGTTTTCTCTTGTGTTCTTGGTTAAGAAGACATGCGGATTGACAAGATAAATGAGTGCAAACCTTACAAATTTAGTTGTTTCCATTACTAAAACTTGAGGGTTGCAAGTTCAAACTCCATTAAATGAAGTATTTTTATTTTTGTATAGGCTTTGGGATTATTGCTAACATTTTCCATAATTTTTTGATCCCTTGTGCTTACTTTCAACTTTCAGATTGTAAATTTAAAATTGAAAAACGCAAAATTATTACATTTTTTTTTTGTCAATTATTTTACAGGTACAATACATTCTGATTGTATTTAATCGTCTTGCAGGTGACCACGCTGTGGGGAAGTTTTGAGATAAGGAACGAACGTCTCGCAAGAACAATGCTTCAACAGATGTGCCAATTCCCGCTTCACTTACATCTGGACAGGTTCAATCACTGGGCAGACCTGTTCCAGCAGTTGCCTATCTACTTTATGACCTTCTACGGCCAGCAACCTCTTAAAGTTGTCATGGAGGTAACTACAAATCCAGTGGCGGATTATGACCTTATATGAAAATTTTGAAATTTGAAGAAACTGGTTTTAACTTTGTTAGTTTTTTTATGCTTTTTCAAATTATTTTTACAACAGTTTTATTTTTACTTTTCTGCCTGCGGCCCCCTGAGACCTGCGGCCCCTAGGCAGTTGACTTTCTTGCCTAATGGGTAATCCACCACTGTACAAATCAAATTTATAAATTCAAATTTTACGAGTTGAGCACTCATTTTTAAAGATGTGTTTTCGTGGGCAATGGAGTGCAGGGAAGTGATTTTCCGCTCGTCCAGTGACAGTCCGCTCCGCTTCTAGGAAAATAGTACCATTAAATTGTCTAAGACAAGAGGATGGGGAACAAATCCCCCAATTCTGGTGCTAGGAAAATTCAACTTAACTTATCTTTATGAATACTAAGGCTCAATTTTAAGAGAACTATAGTGGAAAAAATCAAAGTCTAGAAATGAAGCACTAGAAATCTCTTTGGTCTGATATAATTTTGTTGTACTGTATTGGTAATGTTGGTCAAACTACACCAATTGATAAAAGAGCCATTATTTTAAAGTTAATTTCTCTTTTCTCTTCTAAAGTAAAATGGCGGCCAGCATTTGAATTGAAATATTCACTGACAAACTCTACGTTTTCTCACAGGCAGTTGAGCATGCAGCTTACGTACATGATATTGCGCATGTGATCATAGACAACGTGCAGTTCATGATGGGACTTTCCGATGGGGACAACAGCCTAGATAGGTTCTACAGACAAGACTCGATAATCGCTGCATTTAGAAACTTCGCCTCAACAGCCAATTGTCATGTTACTTTAGTCATACACCCACGCAAGGTAATGCAACTTTACAGAAATTTTAACAGTTTAACAAATGTCAAGAGATAAAACAGGAAAGATGTTTTGGTGTGTTTCTTCTGGAGTCTCAAAAATGAAGCTTAATGGGGTGGGTAGCCAATCTAAATTTAAAAAAAATGTGGATTGAGATTCCCTTGGTTTCTTATTAGTAGGGAAGCCCTAGTTGCCACTACCTTTAATTTCATACTGCAGTAGGAATAGAGGTGTCGTTACGTTAGAAGGGCGTTACGAGTACGAAATTCAATATGAATATAAACAGACAGAGGGAGACGATATGGCCACCTTGTCTGCCAGTGTAGACTACTTTAGCCATGTCACGTTTGCTTATGTCAACGTCATTTAGTCTACTTTTTGTTTCATGTCAAAGTATGTCTGTTCAATGATTCTGTGTCTTGCGTTGTGTGTGTATAATTTATTGAACTGCTGACAACCTTCGAATGACGTGACTACTTGACACCTTGTAGGCCTGATGATGGTTAAAATTACAGCCGAAACTATTTGCCACTGTAGCAACCAAGAATTTAATATCATAAACGATTTTGAATACAGTAATTCGGCTAAACCAATATTTTTTAAAACAATATTTCTTTGAAGAAATTTTATAAACATAAGTTTAAAAAATTAAAAACCTTGGATTTTTATGAATTTATTTAATTCAAAATCAAGTGAACTTTTTAACCCTTTGCGGACGGGTGACGGATATCCGCCCAAGTCTTTGGCGATAAAGGACGGGTGACGGATATATCCGCCCAAGTCTTTGGCGATAAAGGACAGGTGACGGATATATCTGCTTATGGTTTTTGATGTTCCGGACTGGCAGGTGCTTGAGCAGTAACCAGATGTTTCGCGGTACCAAGGCGCCACTTTCCTGCTCTCTCCATGGCTGCGCTCTCCCCCGCACTCCCCCCTCTCTCACGCCCCAACCCCTCTTCTGCGTCACCCCCCCCCCCCCCCCCCTCTTGCGCACCTACCACCATTCCTAGGCTCCTCTCTCGACGTTTCGCGCTCAACATTTTGCTGTCTTTATTTATTGTTTACATATTATTCTTTATTTATTGCCTAACGTTGTCATGGTCATATCTTCAAAGACGGGTGGCGGATATATCCGCTGCATTTCTACTCATTCGCGGACGGGTAGCAGATATATCTGCATAGTTAAAAACGAGTAAAAAATTATTTTGACAGTATGAAGTGTATGATTGTGTTTATTTTATCTATACTTGTATAACAAAACACAAATAACAAAAATTAATTTTTATTTTTTCCTCTAATTTTTTCCCGTCCTATGTCACGATTTAGCCCAACTGGGAAGAGTTAAGGTTTAGTAAACCAAATGACATAAAAATATTTGTTCATTAGGAGAGAGACGCAGACATGTTGAATATGAATTCTGTGTTCGGTGGAGTGAAAGCCACCCAAGAGGCTGACAATGTTCTCATAATACAGCAGAAGACGCTTCAGAACTTGAAATTGAAAAAGTTTTTACAGGTAAATCTAGCATAATATATTCAATTTATTTTGAGAGCTTGATATTTTTGTAACCCTCCGAGTTTTAAGCATCGCAAAAGCGACACACAACATACCCGGTGGTGTTATGCATCACTTTTTCGGCTTATAAACATCGTTTAGGGCGAAGGCTCTGGGGCTGACTGAATTTTATTGTATTGGAATGAGATTGGTATTGTTGTTTTCGGCAGATTCTAAGCTTTCTCCTGATGTGTGTTTCTAGACGCTTTCCATCTTAGTTCCGATCATATTGTAGTAGACAGATGACGTGCATATTTGTTAACATCTTGGTTAACCTAGGGATGTTGCGATACCACTGTCTTTCCGATATTTGGTATCGATACCGTATCGCAAAAAAGTATCGATACCGGCTCAGTATCGGAACCCAAGTATCGATACCATCAGTATCGTATCCATTCGATACCGGTGACGTCATATTCTGATTGTCTGATCTTCGATTAAAGTTCACTCGCTCCAGTACAGTACAGCTAATATAAAATTTTTATTCGAGCTGCTAAGACCTACTTAATCATGTAAAAAATTGATAAAATTAAAATTAACCAAACGTAGCCAACCTTTGTTTTCAATGTTACCATAAAGTAAAAGTTCAAGTACCTGTTCTTCTAAACCTATATCATTTACCATAAAAACACAATTTTATTACATTACCAGCATACACACACATTTGTGTTTACCATCAGCCTAAATTGACAAAAAAATTTGAAATAAATTTTAAGTGCCATCTTTTTAATTTATTCGATATGGTTTCATTTTATTTGCCTAACACAACGTTGCTAACATCGATGTGTAAAAATAACTTTGCAACCAAACCCTTAAGTTTTACCATAGATAAAACATACTTAGTCCAGTCAGCAGGTAGTTTTAGATGGAAAAAGGTCGGAAGTTAATGAAACTTGGGGATGTTGTTCAGGGATGATAAATTAACATTTTCCCAAGTTTTGGACCTCGAGGACCCTGTGGAAAAAATATGGTGGGGGAAAAACTTCAAAATTTTGGACACTTTTATGTTTTTTTCTCACTAACTTTTTTCCCTTACTTCCTACCGAAAAAGCATACGTTACACTTTTGTAAAGCGTTAAATTTCCTACAATTCTACAGTTCAAACATGTTTGTACGATAATTTGTTACCGAGCAATAGTATTTTGATTTTATATATTTTTAAAAATACACCAAAATATGCAAAAAGGCAGATTTTCTACTTATTTTTTCTGTTGCACGCAAATTATTACTAAATTTTGTAGTAATTATCGTTCCAGGTTATAAGCACCATATCCGGATACTCCCATACCTCACCCACCCCGCACTCAGCTGATCAAGGTGGCTTACTACACCCTGGTTTCACACTACCACAATATTACATTATCTTCTATGTATTATAGGATATTTCACAATTACAATTGATTAATATGTTGTTGAACACTATCATCAAAACATTAATCAGTCTGCAAAGTTTATTTTCTGTCTTCACTAATCTTTGCTTACTAATTAGTAATTTTGCCTTACATACTCTGTCGTGTTGCCGCACATTGTTGCTTACAGTTATATATTGGTTTTAGTCTCGTTTGGTTGGTAGTCTACCAGAGATGCTCCTCACGCGGGCTATGAAGAGCTATGGAGGACTCACTCGTGGACGCGGAGTAAGCGATTCCGTGCTTTCTAGATGTACATTAGGCACGCTGTGTCTTCAAAGCATTTGTGAACAAGTAGAATTGTTCGCTGATTTTCGCTCAGAGACATCATCTGAGCATCATTTAGACATGAGACCAACCCGTGGAGTGAGAGACTACATGGCCATTGATAAACTGCTTGCATGGTTCACTGAACATCCCCAATTCCCAGGAGATAGTTTCATTGAGCACAGGAATCATTGATCATGTTGACGTTAACTGTAACTTCGCACGAGAGATAAGCATATCTCTATTAATGGATGAAAATGTTGAAGAATTGAAACTCAAACGGATGGACAAGGTGGTGATTCTCACTTCTGTTTCATGCTCATTGAAAATTTCTGGTAAAAAACGCACTGTCTATCCTCTCACTCTTTTCCAGTGTGTCTACGTTGCAAAAATATTTGAGTAATATATAAATAAGGTCTTTAAGTTTGAACTCGCCCCCTTACCCATATCAATCTTTATCGAGGATGGAATGTGCAAGGGAACAAAGTCTGTAATGTACTCACTCTTCTTTCCTATAGAGAAAGTAAACCTTGTCAACAGGAAATAAAACGTTATTAGAGGTTACATAAAGTGGTGTGGAACAAAACTCCTACAAAGGACGCCGACGTGATGATCGTCAACACCGCTATATCCAAGGCTAGCGAATTCGACAGCGTCGACAATACTGTTCAAGATGTAGACACACTTATTCTCTTGACAGCATTAGGAACTAATACAATAACGTCTATCTTCATAAAAAGTGGAAGAGGCACATATCCCAGTGTCCTGTACTCTCCAAGTTTCTGCTCCTTTCCTCCACACAGCAGGTGGTTTCGATAACACCACAGCTGCGAAGAGTAACTAATACCATAACTAATATCAATACCAACAAGATCTGAATATGGTTGGTTTTCATCGGAGAAGAAAATTAGCATTTGAGAATTGGGGTTGGGTTTGGAAAGGGTGGGTAGTATTGTGGGGGGAGTGGGGGGAGGGTGTATCCAAATATGGTGCTTATAACTTGGAACCATAATTACTAAAAAATTTAGTAATAATTTGTGTGCAACAGAAAAAAATATGTAGGAAATCTGCCTTTTTGCATATTTTGGTGTATTTTTAAAAATACATTAAAATAAAAATACTATTGCTCGGTAACAAATTATCGTACAAACATGTTTGAACTGTAGAATTGTAGGAAATTTAACGCTCTTCAAAAGTGTAACGTATGCTTTTTTTGTATAAGACAAGGTAAACAAAAAAACAAAATATTTAATTGGGTTAAAGTCTGTTTCTTTTTTGGCACGAGCTGTTTCTTTATTCTCAGAAGGCACGAGCGTAGCCATTTTACTCAGCTTTGTCAGAAATGACCTTCCGATACTTACGATATGATACTGGCCTCTTGGTATCGATACCAATTAAATATCGGAACAACCGATACCGATACGATACCAGCAGTATCGCAATAAAAGTATCGATATCTACTGGTATCGATAGTATCGCAACATCCCTAGGTTAACCTCACATCGATGACTAATGTGTTTTATTACGCTTATCGTTGATTTTAGTGATACAAATAAAAAGTGTAATTTATTTATGTGTAAATTATTAAATGTGCGAAATCTGTTTTTCACACAAACCTTATTTATTTGCAAATTTACTTCCTTATATGATTATATTTTTTAAATGCTCATAATATTTAGAACAAAGTGGCTATTTTAAAATATTTGTAGACCTAAAATTATAAAAATTTATTGAGCGCAAACCTAAATTTTTTAATTTATTTTATAATTTTTGAAAAAATGTTAACCAAAAGATTGTTGAAATTTTTTTTATGTTTTATATATTACTTTGAAGCCCATAATTTTCCAAAAAATATATATATAAAACAGTATGCTTTAGAGTGTTTTTTAAGTTTCTAAGATACATTTAAAAAAAAAACCCTGCAATTAGGTAATAAATGGGCCAACATTAAAACCTTTACTATGGACTCTTGGAGGGTTAAAACTAAAAGGGTTGGCGCAGCCTCTTTCAACCCTTCATTTGCCCGTCCCAAAAAGATAAAGATGTCAAAGACCTTAGCTTCCCAGTGGCAGCAATAAAATAGTTCAACAGCCTACCAGGAGACATCAGAAACGTTTAAAACATCAGTACATCTTGAAAATATACCTATTTGCATTAAAAGATTTAGATAATATGCCTCTTAAACATGCTTGCTATTTCAGTTCAAAAAATTTAGATCGTTATTGACACGGTCTATCTGGCACCCTGGTCAATGAAAAAGCATCCAAAGGATAGTAAGATTGTATAACTCTTTACCAACATCGAACAAAGTCTATGTATTTTTACTGCCTATCAACAATAATGTATAACATTTTGTTTTAGATTGCCAAAAACCGATATTGCGGGGATCTTGGGGTGATGCCATTAGATTTTGATAAGGACAGTCTCAGTTTTTCTGTGAAAAAAGGACAAAAGAAAGAAACCAGCGACAACAATGATGACAGATGATTGTCATCTATTTGAAATGTGAAACTATGGCCAAGTGTTTAAACCAAAAAGTGAGTCTTTACTAACTTGTAAGTATTGTAAAGTGTTGGTACCTAAATTATATTTTCTGTAAACTACGTTTTAAATTTTTAATTTCTCGAAACCTTTCTTGATTCTGGTCAGTTACAAACCTAGGTACTCATTAAACCTAATGTTATTGAAATAGATTTAATTGAAAATCAAATCAGGCAAATGGAAATCCGCTTAATCTGCACGGCAGGAGTATGTTAGTAAATACTAGCCGCTAGACCCCTGCCTTGCAAGGGGTCAAGATGCAGAATTTTGGTTCCTTGAAAATAATGGCAAGCAGCTTAATTTTAAAATATTGCCGTTGCTTTAATTGAAGCAGCTGTGTAGCCAAACACCACTAAATTTACCACAATGTATAAAACAATATGCCATTATCAAGTTTATTAAAAATAAGAATACATTTATTTCTAACACCAAAGCATGACACACAGATCATAAAAGACTGTGATCATAGATATAACAATAGGATACAATATCAATGTACACTTTTTGTCGTCGCAGTACCTATTAAAAGTCAATGATAGATTTTAAGGTAAAAGCCGTCACAATAGTCCGAAACCTAAAAATACTGTATTTTAATTCTATTACTGTTTCCACAAAAATATTTATCGTATACTAATATTAACATATTGTTTGACAGTTCTACTTAAACATTCGGGCGAGTGACATCATTCATTTAAATGTTTATGATACATACATACCGTTTCTATTCTAATATTCATGCAGTATTTAATTTAATATGTATACTTCATAAAATAAAGTAAAACTTATTGAAAATAAAGTAAAGTAAAATAAAAGGGGTAGTAAAACATAAAATAAATGTGTCCAAAATCGCACAATACAGAGTTTTTGAACATTATTATGCTAAAAAATAAGCGGAAAGTAAATAAAAGAAACGTCTTATAACAATTAAAACAGACCCAATGAGCGAATGATAAAGCACGTGATTTGTTGTTGCGTGGTAGTAAAACTTAAAATAAATGTGACCAAAATCGCACAATACCGAGTTTCAATAGGTCATTCGCTTATTGGGTCCGATGATGATTGGAGTGTCCAATCGAAATCAATCACCACTTATCATCTTTTTTGTATATTTAAAAGTAATTTTATTAAGTTATTTAAAAAATAGGTTAATTTAGTTTTAAATAGCTAAAAACATTAGCAAAAATCAAAAATGTTTTCAATACTGCTTTAGTTGTAAATAGCTTAAATCCCGATCGATGCTCTCGTATTTCAGGAGAAGGCCGCTTGAAATGCCTTCTGGGCCAAGACAGACAGACAGAAATTGAGATAAGACTTTTTTCGGGAGTATTTC